GACGCATGGAAATATGCAGACCGACTTGTCCTGTCAGAAGATGGTGTGCTTCACTACTTGGGTCTGAACCGACGGTACGACCACGGTTGACAAGAGGAGAACAAGCTGCGTCTAGTGGTACCTACCACGATGATTCAAGAAGTCTTACAGAACTGCCAGGATTTGTTGGAAGGTGGCTACCAAGACGTCGTCAGGACCTTCGACCGTGTCAAGTCTGACTATTACTGGATTGGGTTGTATGCTGACGTGGAGAAACATGTGAAGTCATGTCTGGATTGTAGCTCAAGTAAGAGTCGTACACAGTTGCGAGGATACTCAGCAGGCAATGTACAGGCCGAACGACCGTGCCAGATTGTCTCTATGGATTTCGTGATACGTCTACCAAAGACACGCAGGTGCAACACTGCCCTGTTGCTTTTCCAATATTTGTTCACTGGATTCATCATTGCTCAGGCTATGTCCGACACATCTGCACTCAGCGTAGCGCGAGCGTTCGAAGAGTGTGTGTACCGACGGTTTGGAGGACCATCGTTGATTCGGCATGACCATGAGCCTAGGTTTATGAGCGGGGATTTCTAGCCTTCGCCGATATGATGCAGTCACGATCACGAGCGACTTTAAGTTATCAACCGCAGGCTAACCGCCAACAAGAACGCTCGGTAAAGTCAGTGATGACTTCCGTTCGTGTGTACGCGGAAGAACCTCTTCAGCAGGATTGGGATGAAATTGCTGAGAGGTTGGTGTTTGCAATTAACACATCCCAGGACACAACAAGGAAGGAGATGCCATTTTACCTCGTTCACGACTGGGACGCGCAATCCACGCTCCGGGCGATGTCTTCATCACTCAGACGAGGATTAAATAGACAGTCCGATGCACGAGCATGGCGTCGCGAAGTCAACCGACAACACGAAATCGCCTTAACTATGGCCAAGGACTATTAAGCGGCAGAAAAAGAGCGAAGAGCCATGGAACACAACGAAGCACTAAGTCGACTGGAGAAAGCCGCTGTGCCAGGACCAAGTGGAGAGGGACACTCGGTGGGTAGCCCAGAAGCTTTGTCGAGTCCGAACAATGCTGTAGAGGTCCCACCGAAGTCTCTTTTCGAGACTGGAGGCAGAGTGTGGCTCTACATGGAACACGTAAAACCCGGCCTCACCAAGAAGTTAGACCATCGTTGGCATGAACCATTCCGGACCAAACAAAAGGTCGAAGAGGTCGTGTACGAGTTGGAGTTACCAGACAAGAGCAGATACCGCTTCTACCCCGCCATGCACAAGTCAAGGCTCAAGGCGGTAAACGAGTATCCAAATCGACCGAAGAATCGGTTGACGCAAGATGTGACCGAGGATATAAGGTTTGACTTCGATGAAAAGCTATTATACCTGAAAATAGCTGGGAACCAGATCACCTGGCAGGTGAATATGAGGTCGAATCCATCCTCGATGACCGAACGCCACTGGCAACGAGCACTGAACGCGTCGTTCGAGAATTCAAAGTCAAATGGGTCGGCTACGATGAGCCAACTTGGGAACCATCATCTAACTTGTCTTGTGGAGGCTTGTTGTATGACTATTTGCGAGCCAAGAAGAGTGAACGCCGGTTGCAGTTGGTTCAAATCGCCGACGCGGATTAGTGTGGCTTGTACACGCGTGACCTGTTCATAGGGCGGTGCAGCCTGTGATAGCAGATGAAAAGAGTTACTGCACCAACAGAATTGTATATACATATGTCGATTGACGTGGACGTGATTATGATGTGGAAAATGGATTAAAGAAAGAAGACATGAAAACGTGTGAAGCTTCGACTATTGAGAAGGAATGATCGAGAATGCCCGCTGGAGATCGGCACGGAGCAGCCGAAGGTGAAGGGACGAGCACCGACTACTCAATCAGACGATAGTCACCCAGCGACTTCAGCTAGCACGCCTAAAGACGTGTCACCGTCACCCTCCTTCTCTTCTTCATCGGGAGGAGATGTATGAGCAGCTGATGGCGGAGTAGGAGCGCTTGAATCATCATCAGCACAACCAGTAGTTGAAAATGCCACAGTCGAATCTCCAAACACCGGTCCCGGGAGATAGCGATCTGGTGAGCCATAGCTGCATCAACAGCTCGGGCTCAGAAGATCCGAGCCTGGTGGTTGCACGGCACGTAGGTCGTGTTGTACGGGTGATCGAACGGTCGCTACACCCTGTTCGCACGAAACGACTGTCGATCAACCAGTACAGGGACTACCGCGAAACAATCGGTCCTCCTAGGAACAAACGGCAGGTTGTCCACCAAATACCAGGGAATAGAAGGCTCGATGATCATCTCTGGGCAGATGAGCGAGCAATGGTGAGCCAATGCTGAGTCCAAACTCCATTTCAAGTACTGCAACTGGTACATGTTCCGGAGGGGGTCTGCCCAAGCGCTCGGTCCACTCATGAGGACGATAAATCTGGCACTCTTTGCCTTAATGAGATCCTTGTCGCGGTTGGGTTCTGCTTCTTCCGCCGTGAACCCCTTTTCGACGGCGGCAGCGAGGATCCAGAACCGACGCTCCCACAGCGTGAAGGCGAGATCTGGCATGGGACCATCAGCACGAAAGCTCGCCCAGAGGCGGTGAATACGGTTCTCCGGTGGAGCTTGCTTGGGTACTGGGGCAAGTGGGTCAAATCCTTCCATGCTGAAGAAGAATGGATCTTCGTGAAGGAGTTGACGATCAACTTGCCACGGGTGCCTTGGGTTCGTGTAGTCGAAGAATGCGTTCAACGACTTGAGCGTGACACGGATGGTCATGTCCGCTGGAGTTGGATCTGGCAGCACAGTGCTCAGGACCTGCTCGATCTTCGATCGAAGTACTGTCTGCTGTTGCTGCCGGTCAGAAGTCGGAAGGGCCGGCATCGCCTCTTCCGTTCGCTGGCCCTCCTGATCATCTTCCTCGATCTGCTCGATCGACCGCCAAGGGTGGCAGCGGGGGTGCATCATCTTCGTCGGTAGCTTCCGATGCGGGAGCACATTCCGACGGTGGCGAGAGCTCTTCCGGCAGATCCAGTTCTACTCACGTCTTGGATTCGGATGCTGCGGGAAGCGACAGTGGTTGTGCGGAGTTGAGTCGCGGTAGGGACTAGTTTGGAATGCCATCTGGCCCTCTATCGGACGTTGAACTGGCGGATGTACCGCGTACCACAGTTCCCCGGTCGGAGTGGATCCCTGGTTATCGTGATCCATTCTCCCTGCACTTCCCTCGACCTGGCGAGGCAGGTGCCTGGTATCCTGGTATCGAGGACGGATCCGATCCTGCAGATCTACTGGAGGCGTCGACTATTATGGACGCGGCCGATCGATGGCGTAATCACTTTCGTGACGTGGCAGGGGATTGTCCGGCGCTTGGGATCGCTCGCTTGCGTGGCAAGTGCATGCCCATTCTTCCTGATCGTATCCTGCCATTATGTATTGGGTAGCAACTTTTAGGTCGTTAAGAAGAATTGGTTCGATATAATTCGAATTGATCCATGCGTATCATCTTCCGTTCTTCCAGATTGTTTTTAAGGGTGTATTGCCTAGGTTTTCAGGTCTATTCAGGCCCACGGCACTCCATATGCACCGCTTCCTCATTAAAATCTGCAGCCTTCTTGCAGATCCTTCTTCCTCTTACTTCTCCACGGTGACCAACCCACCGTAGATGTTCCACCGTTTACTCCTCATGCGACTGCATCGCCTCAAACCGGTTGCGATCTGTCCGTCCCCGGTCGAAGTCTCTTAGCAACGCTCCGCAGTTGAGATCAGTCTCATCGACCCACGACGGCTCAGCGTACACCTTCCTGAAGACCAGGTATTCGCGTCGTGTACGGCCGTATCGAGTCTTCTTGCTCGAGTGAACATCTTCAATCCGTTCCACCTCGTACTCGTCCTCTTCGAGCTTGCGTTCCCAGCTGTCTTCGGGCAGCAGGCTTTCGTCGACGTCCACGTGATCTGCTTCGCGGTTCGTCAGCGTGGATGTTGGGCGCTCTGGGTAGCTCTTCACCAGCTTCAGCTTTGACACGTGGACAATCGGGAATAGTCAGTATTCTGTGCCGGCGGTCTCCAAACGTACTGCGTGTCGGTCGACGGTCTCCGCAACTCTGAATGGCCCATGCCACATACGCGCGAGCTTGCGAGCGTAGCCTTCCTTGACCCGATCTAGGTATAGCCATACTTGATCTCCTGCCTTTATGTCGTGCAAGCTCACATCTTCGTTGTGTTGATCTGCTCTCCGTTCGATCGCGTCGCGCAGCGCCTCGTTGACTAGCCCGCGTGCCTGCTGGTACTGTCGCTGGACGTTAAATCTCCACCGGCGTGGCTCCACGTGCCGGCGTCGAGGGCTTCCGAGCGGCAGTGTCACTTCTAACGTAGATCGAGCGTCCCACCCATGGATCAAATAGAAAGGCGTTTCGCCCCGGATACGGCCGTACGCCGTGTTAAGGGCAAACGTCAGACGTTCCGCGTACTCGTCCCAGTCCTTCTGATTTATGTCTGCGACACACATCTTCGAGGCTCTGGTTAGAGTCTGCACCATCCCTTCTGCCGTACCGTTGGCTTGTGGGCGGTACGCCATAGTGGCACGCTGTCTCTGTCCCATTGTGCGGTTGAAGGCGCGAAAAAAATCAGACACCGAAGGAGATTGTCATCAAAGGCTTCCGCCTACTGGAAGCCAAATAAAAGTACGGTCTTACCTAAAGTGTCGCTTAAATCATATGCAAAAGTGACCATAACTTTTCAAATAATCGTTACTTGCCTGCTATTGGATAAATCTCTGAGTGAATGCGAATTTCATCAAGAAAACCTCAATTTATTTCCGTGCTGTCTCTTCCATAAAAGCAGCGTTTTAGAGATTCATGCAGTATGAATCCTGGCTCCCGATCGTGCCGAATGGCTTCGCTTGCTCCGAATCTGCGAAAGACGCCCTCCTCGTAGTTCTCTGCGATCGTCTGCGCGGTCCGTGACGCACTAGCTTTAGCTATCACGTAACCTGTGAATAGATCGACCCAGATGAGAAGCTCGGTGTTCCCTTTATACGACCTTGGTAGAGACGGGATGTGGTCCATCGCGATGCACTGGAAAGGGTACGTTGCTTGAATGTTGCCTGGC